CCTCTGATGCTGCTTGGCCTGCTGTGTTCATCCAGCTCTACACCTTGTTATCTCAGATTCTCCAGCATCGGCAGCTCCTACTATCTCTGTAATAATTTATTTTATTTTGTTTCCTTTTGCTGTGTTTCCCACCATTTTCTCCCCTTCCCAAGGTAAACATTGTAGTTGTACTTAAATCCTGTTTCTTGCCCAACATTTATATACATTTACTTCACATTTCCCTGGAAGTCTTCAGGAGTGAGAGTTCTAACAGAATTAGTTGACCAGCAGAGATGTTGAATCCCGAGTTACAAATGATACTCAGTTAATTCAGCACAGACAAGATACAAAACACTGAATGGTCTAGTGACTCAATTATTTGTTGTTTAGAGATTTGTAATATCCCCAGCCCTGGAGACTTATAGAATGACACAGGAGGAGGCTTTTCAGTTTATCGTTGCTATGCTGGTTCTTTAAGAAGGTTATCTGATAAGTCTCAATCTTTGCTGCTTTTGGCCCACAGCTCTGCACATTTCCAATATTCACCCAGTTTCCTTTTGGAAGTTATTATTGAACCTGCTTTCACCACACTTCGAGGGGCAGTGCATTTCCAATAACAATTTGCTATGTAAAAATAAAATCGCACCTTAACACCAGTTTTTTGCTAAGGTTCTATGAAAAGGTATGGTGTGGAATCACCCAGTTGGATTCCTTCTCCTCACCTGGACCGCACATGGACTCAATGGGCTGAATGGCCTACTTCCACACTGTAGGGATTCTATAATGATATGCTTTTATGGAAGGAGAACCTCCTAAATTCATCACATTGAAGAATTTGCACAGTAATGGAAGCATGAAAAATTTCCAGTTGCTCAGAAATGAGGATGACAACACTGACCTGTCATCTGCGAGGGAGAACTCCAAATCCCAGAAAGGAGAAAGGGAGAGAGAAAATAAAAAGAAGAGCGCAATGTATTCTGGAGAACCTGTAGACCAAGTCCATCATCAATCCATTCGAGACTGGGCTGTGACTCCCACAGTCCAAATAACAATGTGTCTGACATAATCTTGTTACTCTTCAAGTGCATAAATAAAGTCTGGCAAACCAATCTTGTGCAAATACACTGTGGTTGAATAGCTGGGGAGGATTTTATATTTATATATACACAGTGAAATTGAAAGCAAGTTTTTATACATCTGTATATATTTTTCATAAATGGTGGAACAGCGGTATTTGAGAAGAGGAAGCACTTAAATGTCTCTTGGCCATTGCCCGAGGTTTGATATCCCAGAGGGAGGCCTGTGATGTTGACAGTGGGTAATAAACTCCTCAGCTCATACCGCGAGTCCTTTATCTCGACTCCAGCTGTCAGAGTGAGGTGGTGAGAGGAACGTGCCCAACACTCCCAAAAACACCTGGTGTTTGCCTGCATGGTCAGAGATTTGGTGAATTAACAGTCTCCGTGACAACTGAGTTTGTTTGTCACTCCTCAAGGAAGACTTTTTTTATCAGGTTGAGATTTTTCTGACTACGTTGCCAGCTATGAAATATGAATAACTGACCATATTTCCCTGTGCGACGGGGCTTCTGTGCACATTAGACATGGCATTTTAGATCCTCACACTCTGTCTGAACAGCTCACCCAGCAGGAGTACATGCTGGGAACTCTCTTTGGAAGAGCTCCATATTGAAACCACAAGTTCACAAAGTTACTCCCGCTCTCTTTTCCTAATAATTAACATAAATGTTTCAATACTTTGGGCTCAGGTTGCCATTCCTTCAGGACAATTCCAGTTACAAACATTAATCTCCAGAGCACTGCTAAGAGTGAAACTCCAGGAGGAAATTAAACAAAATTGTTGTATGGGGGTAGGGATGTTTGCTTTTCCTTTGGCTATGTTGACGTATTAATTCAGAAAGGGGATGGAGAAAAGTGTTACTTTAATATAGTTGAAATTAATCCAACCGAACAATAAAACGTTTCACATGTTCTGGTCCAAATGGCCATGAGGAAGCAGGACCAGTGGCATCAGTTTGGGGCATGAGTGGGGCACAATGGCTCAGTGGCTAACATTGCTGGCAGGGACCCATGTTCAATTCCAGCCTTGGGCGACTGTCTGTGTGGATTTTACACATTCTCCCCGTGTCTGCGTGGGTTTCCTCCAGGTGCTCCGGTTTCCTCCCACAGTCCAAGGGCGTGCAGGTTAGGTGGACTGGCCATGCTAATTTCCTCCCATAGTGTCCAGGGATGTACAGGCTAGAAGGATTAGCTATGGCAAATGGGTGGTTACAGAGCTGGGGCAGGGGGAGTGCGAGGGTCTAGGTGGGATGTTCTTTGGAGGGTCAGTGTGGACTTGATGGGCTGAATGGCCTACTTCCACACTCTAGGGATCCTATGATTCTCTATGATTTTATGAGCGTATAGAGACAGGAGGTCAGATGATGATGAAACCTACTGGAATAAACCCAATCTGAGTTGGCAACCTTACTTGGAGTACAATTGCTCTTCTCCATGTTCCTGCAATTTTGTTGCTCCTTTGAATGTTTATCTAACTCCCTTTTGAAGATTATGCCCCTTATCAGGCAGTGTGGTCCAAATCCAAATCACACATTGCCTTAAAAAGGTGATTCTGAATACACCTCTGGTCCTTTTGCCAGTTATCTTAAATCTGGTGGAATCAACTGGATTTCTCTTTGAAAGAGCCAGTCTAGACTCGGTGGGCCAAATGACCTCCTGTGCTGTACTTGGAGACGGTAAGCACTGCAGATGCTAGGAGCCAGAGTCTGTAGATGTGAAGCTGGAAAAGCACAGCTGCTCAGACAGCATCCTACTCCACCTTCCTACTCACTTATCCGCTCTACCCTTCCCACTGACCAATCCCAATAACCTCTTACCTGCATCCGCCTATCACTATCCCACCTACCTTTCCCCCAGCCCCACCCCCCTCCCTCTATTTATTTCTGGGCTCCCCTCCCTCTCCCCAGTCCTGATGAAGGGTTTCGGCCTGAAACATTTACTTTCCTCCTACTCGGATGCTGTCTGACCTGCTGTGCTTTTCCAGCTTTACATCTATTGACTCCTGAGCCGTATTGTTTTATATTCTATCAAAAGGGAACCTTGTATTTCACAGTGCTTCTGTTTACATTGAGATATACCGATGTCTTCAGGTTTAATTCCCACTGTGTGGTGAGTTTGCATGTCCTAGCTGATGTAGTGTGAGGGTTGTCGTGTACCACTGTCTGCTGCTCCTGGGCTGGATTAGATAGGCTCATTCTGGGCTGGTATTTCCACTCCTTACCGTTAGGTTATAAACGCTGCTAGAAAGGTGGTGCTGAGCAGTGAACACAAACTAAGCTCAAGAGGAAGGCAGGGAAAGAAATTTGTTTTTAAAAATGTCTTACAGAGTCATACAGAATGGAAACAGATCGTTTATCCACGCTGACCAGATTTCCCGATCTAAACTGGTCCCATTTGCCTGTGTTTGGCCCATAACCTTCTAAACCTTTTCTATTCATGTACCTGTCCAAGTGTCTTCTAAATGTTGTGACTGTACCTGCATCTACCATTTCCTCTGGCAGTTTATTCCATATACGCACCACACTGTATGTGGAAAAAATTGCCGATCAGGTCCCTTTTAAATCTTTACCCTCTCACCTTTAAACCTATGCCCTCTCGTTTTGGACCTTCCAACCCTGGGGAAAAAACCTTGGTTATTCGTCTTATTTATGCCCCTCATGATTTTATAAACCTCTAAAAGGTGACCCATCAGCCTTCGACGCTCCAGTGAGAAAAGTCCCAGTATCTCTGCATAATTCAAACCCTCCAGTCCTGGTAATATTCTTGTAAATCTCTTCTGCACCAATTTAATAACATCCTTCTTATAGCAGTGTAACCAGAACTATTCACAGTATTCCAAAAGTAGCCTCATTAATGTCCTGTACAGCGGCAACATGACATCCCAGCTCCCATACTCAATGCTCTGACTTGCTAAAGCCAATATATGCTGGCCATCCCTAATTGCCCTTGAACCAAATGGCTTGCTAAAGGCATTTCAGAGGGCATTTGAGAGTCAACTACATGCTGTGGGACTGGAGTCACTTGTAGGCTAGCCTGGGTAAGGATGGAAGGACATAGTGAACCAGATGGTATCAATCACTGACCGTTTCATGGTTACCGAGACTGAGACCAGATTTATGTTCCAGATTTATTCATGTCACTAACTGCCGTGCAGAGATTTGAAACCATTTCCCAGTCCTCTTGAAGGCTAGCCTAGTGACATAACCCACATGATACTGCCTCTCCCACACCCCCTCACAGAACTCTGAATCAGCAAGGAACATTGTGTGACCATTAAATCTTTGGAACAATCGGCACCATTTTTTATCCCGTTTCTAAATGACATCTTGGTCTCTGCCAAATGATTTTATTAAGTTTGTCCTGAAATCTCCAGGGGATAAAGATTAATCTCCTGGAAACTGTTAGGAGTAAACCTTAGGGTGAAAATTAAAAAAAACATGCTTTGTTCTAAATTTTCTTCAAATGCTTTTGTATCCTGGTTATAAAAGTGTCGGACAGAGGGAGAAAATGGTTTGTTTGACAGTTAAGAATCATCCAATCAGTTAAGAGATCTGTCTGCTTTCCAATTGGCCGTGGGAAGGTGAGACATGACGAGGCTGGACAACCAATGAGGGACCGTGTGATTGGGAATGTTGGTTACAGGAGGTCATGTGATGAAGCCTTCCGGAATAGGTCCAACCAAAGTTGGCAACCCTGTGTTACTGGTGTGCCTCAATGTTCTATCTGACTTAGCAACCAGAATGCACTTAATTCCATTGCTCTGTGGCTAAATAGCAGCAGTGTCATTGTATAAAACCCTTTTCCTTGCTTATTCTGAATTACACAGGAAAACAGAGGAACGTATCCAGGAGAATGGGGAGGAAAATCTGCAGAGAAAGATCCAGAGCTTAGAAATCAGTGATGGCAGACAAACTGTTTACAGCACAATTGTCACCACTGTAAGTTGCCCGTTTTAATTTTCTTTTGGATAATTGGTGATTTTGCTTCCTGCAGCAATAATATTGATGTGGAACTCCTGTCTCCTTTCAATGGGGTAGGAAGAGTGAACATGATACATTGTTATAATTTGGAACGCATTGCCTGAAGGGGTGGAAACAGATTCAAGAACAACTTTCAAAAAAACAGGAAAATGGATAAATAATTGCCAAGGAGAAAGTTGCAGAGCCCCATGAAAAGAGTAGCAGAAAAATGATTACATCTATGGATCTTTCAAAAAATGCTGACACAGGCATGATGGGCTAAATGGCCTCCCACAGTACAATGATATTCCCAGATTCTACGAAGATTCTCTGAACCTTGATGTGAATAAATTGCTGAAACTTTCTACAATGCAAATTTGACAGCCTGTGTGCCTGAGGAAGACAAATTTGACAAACCTGCTTTTTTTTTTAAAGCCTTTGTTTTCGCAAGGGGAAATAAGTTTTGTTTATAAACCAGAAGTTGTATTTAAAGGCTATCACACTTTACATTACCCCAGCAGCAATGCTCCACAGTTATGTAGGAACCATGGTAGCACTGACAAACAGCATTGAGGTAATTGGCTGGAAAAGCACAGTAGGTCAGACAGCGTCTGAGGAACAGGTGAGTCAACATTTCAAGCCAAAACCTGGCCTGAAACATTGACTTACCTGCTCCTCAGATGCTGTCTGACCTGTTGTGCTTTTCCAGTACCACACCTATAAACTTTGGCTTCAGCATCCTTTGCATTCTACTATGCATCCCACTGATCTTTATTGATGAGCATTCAATGTGTCATTACAATAAGAACGACCGTGTTACTCTTCTTGAATAACGAGAGTCAAAGGGTGTTGGGCTGGGCAGGAAAGAGGAGTCGAGGCCACAATTAGATCAGCCATGAACTTATTAAATGGTGTAGCAGGCTTGAGGGGCTGAATGGCCTACCCCTGCTCCTAATTATTATTTATAATTACATGTATATATTGCCTATATATATAAATAGTGCATTGGAACAAGTTTAAATCCACCTCAGTGGGAAAACAGGCCTTTGATTTAACTTTCTCAATAGAATGGCAGCACCTCCAATGGTGACACACTCCTTCAGTATTGCAGTCAGTATCTCAGCCTGAACTATATGCTCAGACACTGCTGTGGGGCTTGCACCTCCAAACCATCTGACTCTGAGCTAAGAGTGTTACCCACTTGGTTACAGCTGGCAGCAGAGTGAAGGTGGCATGATACAGTCTTCATGGTGAGTGAACCGTATTTCCAGCCCCTTTGCTAAGGAGCAAGCGTTGTGTCTGCTCTAAGGAGGCAACGCAACAGGCTTGATGTTGGTGCTTTGTAGAGATTGGGGGAGACTAAAAATGTCAATGGATTGTAAGTTAAAAACAGAAAGTGCTGGAGAAATTGAGCAGGTCTGGCAGTAGCTGTGAAGAGAGAAATAGAGTTTACATTTCAGCTCCAATATGGCTTCTTTGGAAGTGATTGTGGGTGCTAGAGTGCAGGATGTAAATATTCATTTTCTTTTCAGGCATTAGAAACAGTCTTGGCATCATCACCTAAACATAGTTTATAATTCATCTTGCCTTCACTACTAAACTTTCCCGTCTTGGCTTCCCGCACTTTATGTCTAGACTGTTTCTTGATAAAATGGGTTAATATTTTGTCATTCAGGTGACTTTGAACTTGTTCTTCTGCTGTTCCTCTAACAGAGCCTGGAACAACCAGATCTTAGATATTTTTACATCAACCTATTCAGGAATGTTATGACATGCCTCTGAAGAGAGTCGGACTTGAACCCAAGCCTCCTGGTCCACAGATAGAGACACTACCGCTGCACTGCAAGAGTCCCTAACAGACACATGCATTGGTGATAAACTGTCATCAGGTTCTATATTGACAGGTTGTCTTTAAAACAGATCAATTCTGTGAATTGGCATAAGCAACATTTAGATGCCCCCTTCTAACTAGGGTTAGTAACCATTCAGACAGAGTTGGGGACTTTAGCACATCATTGAATCATAGAATGCCTACAGTGCAGAAAGCAGCCTTTCAGCTCATTGAGTCTGCACCAATCCTCCAAAGAGAATCCCACCCAGATCCAGACCCCTACCCTATCCCTGTAACCCTGCATTTACCATGGCCAATCTACCTAACCCAATCGCTTCTGATACATTTACATGTAATCAGAAACTGCTCAAAGAAAAGTAAAATAGTTTTTTAGTGCTCCAAAGATTTTCTCCTGGCCTTTGCTCACAGCATTATCCTCGAGGTTAACCTCTCTGAATTCCTGGAAGCTCCAGGACAGTCTTGGAGATTGGCAACTGTACTCCCACCATGCTGAGCTGAACACCAATCAATTCACACTCAAGAATAATCTCAAATATTGCTTTGAAAAGTAAAGTATTCATCTTTGACTTTCTGGGAATCACTGACTGGCAGAATGAAGTTGTCAAATTTGCTCAATATCAGCTTGAATTCTCTGGTTTTAATGCATCACCTAAGGCCTTAAAAAACCTCTTTCAGATGAACATTGTAGATGCCAGAGTGATGTTGCTTGGTTAAATGCCAGGAAAATCGCTCTGTTTTTCTTTGGACTGAGCCCACGGAGGTTTCATTCATTTTCCTTTCTTCAGAAGATCAGATTCCTGATTGGAATCGGTCTTGGCAAGAGCCAGTTGCCATGGTTTCCATGGAATATTTTTGAGGCCTGTTGTCAAGGGTGTCTGTAAATGGCTGATCTGATGGTTCAGGCTTGTTCTCAAGTGAAGCCAGCAGAGGGAATCCTTGATCTCTTGCTGCCGGCTGTTACAAAATTGATGTCAATAGAATGAATCTCCTGTTTGTCAAACTCTGTCTTTCTTTCAATATTTAATAATATTACAGAGTATTTTAAATTCATGTCTGAATAATGACCTTAGTTGGAATGGTTGCACTTGTTACAAGCTTATTTTTGGGTCCCTTCAAAGTTTCTTATCTCATTATCTTTGCACCTTATGTAAACTTAGACACTTTGAAGTGATGGCTTATTTGAAACAGTCGCACCTCTGAATGCGAAGGTAATGACTTAAACACGAAACTCTAGCCTGAAATCCCGATACAGTTCTGAGCGACTGCTGCAGTGTTGGAAGTGCTGTCTCTCAGATGCAATGTTATGCTGAGACCCCATCAGTCCTCACAGGTAGAAGATCCTATGGCATTATTTTGAAGAAGATCAGGAGATTAACATGGTGTTCTGGCCACTAAGAACCCCTCAATCCAAATCTCAAAAACAGGTCAGTTGGTTGTTGTCTCAATTTTATGGGAGCTTGCTACACATAAGTTGGCTGCTGTACTTTCTAGATTTCAACAGTGACAGTGGTTAAGAGTATTTTATTACCCAGACGTTGCTTTGGAACATTTTGTGATGGTGAAAGGCACTGCAGAAATGCAGGACTCTTTTCATATCCTAACAATGACTGTGTAATGTAGAGTCATAGAGACATACAGCACAGAAACAGACCCTTCAGTCCAACGCATTCATACAGACCAGATATCCTAAATAAATCTAGTCCCATTTGTGAGCATTTGCCCATATCCCTCTAAACCCTTCCTATTCATGTACCCATCCAGATGCCTTTTAAATGTTGTAATTGTACCAGCCTCCACCACTTCCTCTGGCAGCTCATTCCATACACACACCACCCTCTACTTGAAAAGGTTGCCCCTTAGATCCCTTTTAAATCCTTTTTCTCTCACCTTAAACCTATGCTCTCTAGTTTTGGACTCCCCTATCCTGGCGAAAAAATGTTGTTTATTTACCCTATCCATGCCCCCCATAATTTTATAAACCTCCATAAGGTCATCCCAACATTGAGGGAGATTGTGCTTCATTTGTTTGAATAGCTTTGAAGACTTGAGGCTTCCATTAAACATTGTTTAGAATTAAAGATTCTCAATTCAATTTGATCATTGCATCCTGAGATTGTGTGCTGAACTGTAGAGATCTAGAAGGTTCTGGCTTCAGAGTTGGGTTTGCACAGGCTTTGAGGGTGGAAGGAGGGGGTTGGAAGCAGTGAAGCTTTGTCACAATTTGACTAAGTTTAAGTCAAGATTTTGTTTTTTAATCACTTTTAATGACCCCTGTACTTGGGAAGGAAAAACAGGAATGGATTCCCATTGCAACAAGGCTGAAGAATTTGCAGCAATCTTCAGCCAAAAGTGCCAACTGGATGATCCATCTCGGCCTCCTCCACTGGTCCCCAGCATCACACATAGCAGTCTTCAGCCAATTCGATTCACTCCACGTGATAGCAAGAAATGATTGGTGACACTGGATACAGCAAAGGCTATGGGCTCTGACAACTTTCTGGCAATAGTACTGAAGATGTGTGCTCCACAGCACGCCGTTCCCCTAGCCAAGCTGTTCCAGTACAGTTACAACTCTGGCATCTACCCGACAATATGGTAGATTGCCCAAGTATGTCCTGTATATAGAAAGCAGGCCAATTACCCCCCATCAGTCTGCTCTCGATCATCAGTAAAGTGATGGAAGGTGTCATCAACAGTGCTATCAAGCAGCACCTGCTCAGCAATAACCTGCTCAGTGACGCCCAGTTTGGGTTCTGCCAGGGCCACTCAGCTCCTGACCTCATTACAGCCTTGTTCAAACATGGACAGAAGAGCTGAATTCCAAAAGTAAGGTGAGAGTGACAGCCCTTGACATCGAGGCTGCATTTGACAGAGTGTGACATCAAAGAGCCCTAGGAAATCTGGAGTCAAAGGGAGCAAGGGAAAAACTTTTCACTGGTTGGAGTCATACCTGGCACATAGGAAAATGGTCGTGGTTGTGGGAGGTCAGTCATCTCAGGACATCTCTGCAGGAGTTCCTCAGGGTAGTGTCCTAGACTCAACTGTCTTCAGCTGCTTCATCAATGGCCTTCCCTCCATCATAAGGTGGGGATGTTTGCCGATGTTTGCACAATGTTCACCACTTACG